GTGTAAATATTTCCACGTTATAGTAACAATGCAGGGAGGAGATTTGGAAACCACACCCCGAGCGTGGGGAGGTGATCTACAGACTTTGGAAAGACAATACGGGTCTGGTATCTGGGGCTTCATCAAAAACATCTTTGGAGGTGCACAGGCTGAGGAGCTTCGAAAAAGAATGCAAGACCCCGAACAAGGCCAAAAGCTCACCCAGAGGGGTGGGCTTGGGATGGGGGCGATGTTAGGCATGTCGCTTCTTCCCATGCTCTTGGGTCGAGGTCAAGACGGCGAGTCCATCAGACGTCAGATGGTAGCCGGCCGTGAACCCATGATGCAGCGAGGCGGACTGAGCATTCCACCGGGACTCGTGGCTAAAGCCCTACCCATATTGAAAACCGTTGGTGCACCCTTAGCTATGGGGGCGCTAGCGTCCGTCGGTGACAATCTGGTGGACAAGGTATTTGGCCGGGGTCGAAAGGGAAATAGTAGAAAAAGCAGTACTCGAGCAAGCAAGAGACGATCTCAGAAAAGACGATCGAAGCTACCACCCACTAACAAATTCTCCAGGGGGCAACGTGCAAGGAAGCGCAAAGGAGACGGTTTGAAGAGGGAGGTTGAAGGTCTGGGAAGGCAGCTGTTTGAACATGCAAAGTCGAGAGTACAGTCCGGCATCAAGTCAGGAGCTAAGAAGAGAGGTAGAAGACGACGATCCTCAAACCCTCCAGAAACCATTACTGACCGTATCCGAACTCGCATAGAAAATACCCATAACCCTTCGTTTATACCTCAGAGCTTTAACATTTAATTTTTTCTCGTTATAGTAAGTATGGACTTTTCATCACTGCTGTCTCTGAAAGGAGGGTCTGCCTCTTTACTCCGCGTAGCAGGTCTGTCTCTACGATCTCAACCCAAGTACTCTGAGATTCTCCCCTCCCTCCAAACATGGGGACAAAATGTGCTATTTCTGGGTCAGAGCAGCATGGGGAAATCCCATTACCTCAAGGAAATACTTCGAGAGGTAAAGCCGGAACGACTTTACGTCATCTCCAATACTTCACCGGAGCAATACAGGCAGGAAGGCACGGAGTTGAAACATTACAGTGCAATGCCTGAGTGTATCGAAGAGACGGACATTCAGCCCAAGTCCTTTGTCATTATAGATGATATACGTGTCATGGGACTGAAGCATGGCAGTCAGAGGGAATGTCTTTACAAGTTTTTCACCATGTATAGCCATCATTATGAACTTAATGTGTTCTTTCTCTCTCAAAGCTTTGATAACATCAAAGATATGAAGATAAATACCAACTTCCTCTATCTTTTTCGCTTTACAGATAAATCCAACATCAAACGCTATCTTCATACTTTATTTGGCGGATCCTGTTTGAAAGCTAATCTTGTCTATAAACTCTATGAAAAACTATTAGAAGCTTGTTGGAGACCCTTTCTAGCGGTCGATGCATCACGCAATGAGTTTTATACTCACTGTGATTCTATAACATCGAAGGTTGTGTTTGAATAAAATATTTTCTGCCTATAGTAAGTATGGATGGTGTCAGTGTTCGCATTATACCCACCCACAGTGAGTGGGATGCGGTTACCGTCACTAAGATTGGAGACACCTGGGAGGTCACATTCCCTAGAGTAAAACTAATTGTCCAAATCGAATCCGAAGTTGATAGTTTTGAGTGGATTGCTGGCTGTGAAGCACGGGGGGTAGGAGTGGATGAGATTGATTAAGCCCGTTGTACAGAAATGGAGCGAATACGGGTGCACTTCCAACCTATCTGCATCGAGTGCAACGGCCGTACTCACCCAATACCACCAGAGAAGAGAGACGAGACCATGAAGATGATATTACAAAACCCCCAGGATATCCTGAGTAAAGGTGACACCGTGTGGGAGGTTCAAGGTACTCCTCCAGTACGAGGTGGAGATTATAAGAAATTTTCCGGGCAAGTGAGAGAAGCACTGGCCTATATCCCCGAAGAAGATCGCCCATTTCCTATCTCCCAAGTGAAATCAAACCCTCGAGTAAAGGCTATGTATGATAGAACATTTAAGAACAATCCGGATCTGATAAACCCATCCTCGGTTACTAATGCTGTTGCATCGAATCTCCTCGATTATGATCAGAGTTCTGGAATGGCAAGAGGGTCCATAGCAGAGGCTAGAATGAGGCGAAACATCTCTGCCGCTAGTATCCCACTGCAAACCGCCATGGAGCCAAAGTTTGATAGAATAGTGATAAATACATTTGGTAAACTCCTAGTAGACCATAAGATACCGGAAGCCTTTCTGCAAAGCAGCCACTTCAGTGCAAGGCCGCAACTACACCAAGTCTATCAGGAGGATGAGCAGGGGCTCAGAGGTAGAATGGAAAACACTAGAGATACCCTCGAATTTCAAATCCTCAAAGACTATGCCACTCTGGTCAACCAAATCAATCAGTTTCACCTGTCGCGTTATCCATTCCAGCAGATTGCAGCAGCAGCCAACCTTAATGCGCTTCCAAACCACTCGAGGAGTAATGTGAAATTGGCTGCAATAAGAACTCAGCTTCTAGCCATACCAGGATCCGCAGACAAATATTCCGGTATAGGAGATATGATCAACGCCTACACTCGAACCAAAGAAGCAAAACTTATCAACGCAGAACAATTTATGTTAGGTCTCAAAGAGTACATGGCTGATGATGCCACCTTTATCAAAAGTGTCTTCAAGAATCGGCAAGTGGCTAGCAATACAAGGAGTCCCTATTACCGAACACTTGCTATTCTGAAAGGAAAATCCCTGGTATACTAGGTATGGATGTGGAGCTGAGCAACGTGGACATCGAGTCTGCGCTGAAACACATTCGCGGGTTCCGAGGTGTGACTAGCTATGATCTCCTGCCTGCCTTAAACCATGGCGAGTTTTGTGTGTGTAACACGGACAACATACTCCCGATATTGGACAAACCCGAAGGGGGACACCATTGGCTGACGGTGTGTAGGGAAGGCGATAATGTTCTGATATTTGACAGCTTCGGGCGTGCATTGATGCAGATGGCCGAAGACTATAAAGAACCGGAACTAAAACAATGTTTTCTTAATGTTTATTCCGGCTGCAACCTGTACACCAATACGCAAGTCATTCAAGATAGAAGCACAGCGGTCTGCGGACGTTATGCCATCCTGGTAGCGAAAGTCTTCTCAAAGACTGGTATAGACGGAGTATTGGAATTCCTCTCCTGTACGTTCTCTCACGATACCCTTCACAACGATCAAGTCATGGTTGGTGGGGATTGGCAAGATGATCTTGCCGATGAGCTACATAAACCTAAGCGAGTACATTTCCCACGCAGAAAAGTGGACGTTTACGGCAAGGACGATGTATGGAGTGCTGATCTCGTAGAAATGCAGCCCTTTAGCGAATATAACGAAGGAATTAGATATATTCTCAATGTTATAGACATATACACGAAGTATGCTTGGAGTGTGCCACTTAAGAGCAAAACCGGGGATAGTGTTGTCTCAGCCTTTAAAACCGTCACAACCAATCGGAAACCTAAGCTACTATGGGTGGACCATGGCTCGGAATTTTATAACAAAACGTTCAAGGAGTGGTTGAAGAAAAACGACATTCACATGTACAGTACAGAGAATGAAGGAAAAGCCGTCGTCGTTGAACGTTTCAACAGAACGCTAAAATCTCGTATGTGGAAGCACTTCACCGCTCGCTCGACCAACGTCTACATCGATGTGCTGCAAAAACTTGTCGACAACTACAACAATAGTAAACACCGTACAATTGGGATGACCCCCATGGAAGCCTCCCTAGGGAAACCGATTGAGCAACTGTATGAGCCCATTGCGGATGAGCCTGTCTTTCAAGTCGGAGATAAAGTTCGCATTACAGTGGAAAAAAGAATGTTTGCGAAGGGATACACACCCAACTGGACCGAAGAGGTATTTGTGATTCGTAAGGTTCTCCCCACTTATCCGGTCACCTACAAAGTGAAAGACCTTGCCGATGAACCCATCACAGGAAGCTTCTACAAACAGCAGCTCATGAAGACTGCGCAAGCTACATTTCGAATCGATAAGGTGTTGAAAAGACGTAAGGGTAGTTTGCTGGTCAAGTGGAAGGGATACCCCGAAAAGTTCAACCAATGGGTATCGCAGAAAGAAATGAGGTATATTTCCAAGGATAGTAGTAGAGGGAAACGATGATGCAGTGCACAATGCAGACTACTGCAAGAAATCTGCTTTCTGCTGTTATTGCTGATCGACTGGCAGAACAAGGTCATGTAGACCTACCACAATGTGTATCGTCGCCGGAGTCGAAACCATCTCGGCTTTCTAGAGTTTTGGTACGAGTGTGTCGCTTAGTCAGGTGCAGTGGATCGAGATTTCAGGTGCTGATGCAGCAACTGTGTTTCAACTCCAGAACGGGTCGTACGCAATTTCTTACATTTGCAAAAGAACTATTTAAAAACGGTATCAGCCATGTTAAAATTGTGGCCCTGTACTTATTCAGCAGCGAGTTAGCGAACATCTGTATGGAGAATTCAACGGAACTGGGATTGCACTATGTACATCATGTCATGACCTGGCACTTAGATTACATGACCACCAATGTTTCGCCCTGGTTGGCGGAAAAAGGAGGTTGGCAAAGTTTTGAAAACACCCTTACACACGACTTCAACTGGTCAAATCGCTCAGTATGGACTCATCCCCGTTCAGCCTTTTTGGCCATAATTTTTCTCATACTAATGGTTGAATGGATGTGAGAAAAAATTCCCGGTACAGTAAGATCAAGATGGACTCCTCAAGCAATGCCACCCCATCAGCCGAGCCATCAACTGCGAGCAACAGCGAAGCCTATGAGAAAGTGAAGGGGCGTTTGAATAAAGTTAAACTTACTCAACAACTACTCCTGCTTGCACCAGTGCTGTTCGGAGCCAGCAATGTGGTGGCAGAGAAATCCACTCAAACCTCACCAGCCGAAAGAACAAGCATCATAACTACATTCATACTGGCCATCATATGGACTTTAATCTCATTTTTATGTCATCATTGTGAGCATAAATTTACGCAAGTATATAAGCATTTTCTCAAGCTGGGGAAATATATGCCCGCAGATACTGAACTTGATCAATTTGATGATATATGGACTATGCTGCGCACACACTGCAAACCAAAGTATGTAGGGTAATATTTTATGATGCGATGAAGATTATTATACCGCACAATGCACTATATCCTGCAATATAATTGAGGCACAAGCCTGAAATATTTAACAAAAATGTAGAGTGTTGGAGCCAGCTCCACACGTCAAGAAAGGAGGAATATTAGACAGAAGAATGGCGGGGAGTTTTGCATGAAAATGATGAAACATGTTCAATGTGGGGTCCTGCCCATTAAATGTCCTTGTGACCATATGCAAGTGTGGCCATGCCATCATCCAGTATATACCGCTTGCAGTCGAATGGAGACAATGCCACCTTGGTGGTTACCTCCTCATACACTGTGTGGCAATGTGATCGGAGACCCGTCATAGGCCTGGCAGACACACGATGACTGAGCAGTGCATCTACATAGTCCTTGTGGGTGATGGTATTTGCCAGGACTGCCTTTCGCACACCCTTGGCTCGTTTGGCCGATTCCTGCCCGATGTAGGAGTACATCTTCGATCTTAGACCTACAAACTCCACCATGGATTTCCCACCAAGCTCATCTTTGAATTTGCCAACCACTTTCTTATTGGCAGAAGTGTACTGAGGATGGTCAGTGGGAAAGTTGCTGGTGTCATACAGAGACAGATCCATCTCTGCATAAACATCACCGGTGGTTATGTGCACAATAACAGAGTCGGTGTCGGTGTACAACAGCCGGATTCTGCTACCGTACTGCTCCTTCAGCACATCGTAGTAGAAGGAGTACATGTGTACCTTTGACAGGTCTAGTATCGACATACCCACATAGACCGGCTTGTTGAGCTTGATCTCAGTGTGCTGCTTTTCTATTCCGACAAGCCCGTTCGGGAAAATGTCGTGCCGCACATATGTAGGCTTGCTCACTGCCCTCAGTACCTGCTCCTCACTTTCTTCTCGCAAGAGATCGATGCGTATTCGATTACGAACGTTCTCCATCGTCTTGCCAAAGACTGAGTTGTTCATCAGCTGCAGCACACAAACAGGAAAAACATGACACATGAGAATCATATCATGCCATTCCTTCACATCAGCATATTTTTCAATTAGCATACTCAACGTCACACTTGCACCATACATGCAACAACAAAAAACAACAACAACAACATACGAGACTGCACACAACGGTTGCATTTACCTTGTAAAAGCTCTTCTCAAAGTCGGTTGTAGCCCTCGTGCGAAGTGCAGTGTTCAGATTGATGTAGGGAGCCATCCAGGCACTCTGCTGAAATCCCAACACCTTGTGAACAGCGGTCACCACCATGCCCAGACGCGAATACAGCTGCAGTGTACGGTAGTGTAACACATACTTGGACTTGGGTAGGAGACTGGGTGTCAACTTGACTCCATCTACGGCTGACACTTTGAGCTCCTCCACAAGTGCTTGTTGGTATGGTGATAGCTTATCTGAGAATGTTCTCATCACTTCCGGTGCGAGTGGATAATCATTGAAGTAGTGGTGCAGCGAAGAAGGTACCTCAAGATCACACTCCACAATGAACCCAGTGCTCGAATCTACAGGGTGTGCCAGTATCTCGGACAGGTTCTTGTCACACCAGGCAAACTCAGACGTCGGCATACTCTGGCACATAGCCCAGCCATACAGGTTGTTGGCATCAAGGTATAGCAGGTATGATGTGGGCTCGGCAGGATTGTACTGATCCATCGTTGGGTTGTTGGCCTTGCCGTACCGCTGCGACGCCATTGAGATGCCCCCACGTAGACCGGCTTCGACAAACAGATGCATGTCTACATCCGTGAGCAGCTGCAGTTCAATCTGGGTGAACCGTAGTAGAGCATCCCATGCATATCCTACATAACACCATACAACACACCAGAACACAAACACGAAAGTCAATACACCATGCAAAAAGTATAAAAATACACCGACAAGAAAGCACAAGAATACTAACAGAGAACACCATCTAAAGGAGAGAATGCATTGGACAACAACAAAGACTGATGAACATACCTGGGAGAGTAAGGTAATGGGCTGGATCCAACCCATACGTCTTGTATGCCGTCTTGCGGAAATGCTCAAAGACATCTGCTAGAAGATAGACATCTGTTTGCAAATAGAGGTCATGATAGGCCTCCATTGTACTGCACTCAAATGTCTGCAAAACAAAACAAAAAGCAGCAACGCACGCACGCATGCACACATCCATACACACAAGCATCCACATATCCACAGATAGAGAGCAATGAGTACAAAAAAATGAGTAGAGCACATCACAACAGCATTCAAAAGTCATAAGTAGAGCACAATAATGCAAAAAGCATGGCATCAGGGAAATTCCGAGGGTCAATACAGAAGGCACAAGCTGCTTACCTGCCATACGTTCTGAGCATGGGCATAGTCGGCATCACTGATACCTTCTCCAGTCAAACTAGACTCAAATGCTGATTTAGGTGGCAGCTGTGTCTCATCAAACCGAGCAAAGGAGTCCATGTACTCGTAGGGGTAGACACCCTTACGCAGGAGAAGGTCATGATGGGCCAATGTACGAGTAAGCTTGAAGGCATCTTCCGGGGTGTTGCTCACCAACGAGTCCAGAGAGGAGTTCAAGAAGGCCATGGAGTCAATGAAGCGGTACTGACGCCACTTGAATGAAATATATTTCTCCATGTTGTTGGCGATGACACTGATCTCACCAACCTTCTTAATCCGCTTACGCTGGTTAGAGTCCTCGTACTCCACCTCTTCAACCTCGGTCATACCAATGTGGGCGATGAGGTGGTGGGCATCGTACCCTTTCAGGTTGTGAAACACAACCGGAATGATCTGGCGATCTGGGTAGATACTCAGCTGAATATTACACTGGTAGTGTGCAGCACCACGGTAGTTGCCTGTGCAGATATTCAGAAAGAGGGGAATACACAAACATAGTAAACATCTACAGTGAAGGTGATACCACAGACAATACAATTCAATACACCATGATAAAACACAGATGCAAACAGCTACAAAGACATGAAAATGCACTATACACATACGCATATCTACACACAACTGCAAAACAACAAAAATAAACAAAAAATTATAATACTTACCAGTGAGATGATCATGATCACGAACACGATCTTCTCCAAGTACTGCGTCACATATCCAGCAGTTGACTGCGTTCTGAAACTCAAGCTCCAGTTCTGCCGTCATCTGAATTGGCTTGATATCCGCCAAATCCTCCTGGATACTGCCTTCCAACTCTTTGAGACTGTCGAAAAAGTTGTGAATGGCATTCTCACTGCAGTCGTCAAACTCACCACGGACTTCACCGTTGGATCGGATGGCAGCATATCTACAAGAGCATAAAAGAAGAGGGAAAGTAAGAATAAGTGATTTTGAAAAAATGGAATCACACAAAATGCACATACTACAACACGAACACCTAATTTGTGAACAAGACAAGAAGGAATAACAGCAAGCACTGTGCAGGTATGAGTACAGCAAACATTAGTCAAAAACAACACCAACAACAAAACATACCTGATGCTGCATGGTACATGACGTGCTGTGCGTACAGTGCTGCTGCCATGCTGTTCCTCCATCGGCTCAATGATGGCCTCCGTATCAGCGTAAATGATATATGGAGCCACCATCCTGTGCTTCAAATTTGTATATTTGAGGATGCTGTCCTTTGCTGTGGGCATGACTACTGGCACAGGCTTCATCACCTGACATCTCTCGCTGTGATGCTGCAGGGAGTCTGCTGTTTTGTGTGCGGAGAGGCATCGCAAGCAGTAGTGTGTTGCGTGTCTGTTCTTATTCTCACATGCACGACTGAAGTTTTTTATCCATGTGAAGTGGTTCTCATGAAGAAGCAGGTTGATGGGAGTCTCCTGTCGCTCGCTGAGATACAGTGGGTACAGATTCGACTCGTAGCCAAACACATTGATTGCAAGACCATTCTGTATCTCCACTTTGGATACATCACGGAGCGTTGCAGGGAACATTACACCGTCGAACCGCAGCTCCTCCACATACTGGGTGTACCTGGACACACGCTCAGCATGCTGCTCGACGGGGTGCAGCGCTGACAACAACGCCCACATCAAACACCTGTCATCGTTGTTCTTTACGTTAATGATGGCCTTCTTTTTTTCTAATTTCGGCGGGATAGCAGCTGCACCACCTACAGTACACCACAAAAATACAACGAAGGCTTTGCTCAGAGTAACACCACATCACAACTACACCCTCTCGACAATCACGAAAAACTGTACATCTGGTACGAAACATACGTCTACAACTTTCCACAAGAAATTCGACAGGCTTCGAACAAACACTGTCGGATGAACAGAAACTCACCTCGAAGAGGAGTGTACTTTGCTGTCGACACATCCAGCTGCCTCACTCGAGAAACGGTCCAGTTGGATCCGTTCTGCACCCACTTATCAATAAGACCAGTGATCCTCGCCACCATCGTCTTGACTGCACTATCAATATCCCCTTCGCTGAGGATCCGAGCCGGTCTACTTCTAAAAAACGGGACGGCAGACGTACTACCCGTGGCCGACTCTCGTGTCATCTCCACCCTCAAAACTAAAACCACCTTGAAAGGGTGAGACTGAAGCTCCTCGAGCAGAACCTGTCGGAGCTCGTCATGATGGCTGCTGAAAAAGACGAGAGGATCAGTGCCTGAACCTGGCAAAGAAAACTTTTTCAAAAAACCACGCACGGCACTCGAGGTGGGCAATCTGGGCTGCCTGGATCGTTTTGCACTTGGCTCCGCCATCGTCACGTCACCTCCAGCACTGCCTACAACATACTGAGGAAATAATCTCCCCGTACAGCGTATATGAGGTCGGCTATCACCCTACAATGACACGTGTACTATACTAGTCCACCTTGTGTATACGTCTTTTCCGCAGGGCCACTGAAGGTCGCACGCTCCGCGTACTTATGCGCGCATGCGCAATATGTCACTGCACATCTACGATGTGCAAATCAGGGAGTAGTACGTATTTTACTACTCCCCGGTGCGAATGCACCGAACGTGCACAAGTGCACGGTCGCCACGGAAAAGAACATGATGACATTTATGACATGGCAGGGCCAAAGGTCAAACCCTAGGGGGTCCCGGGGCCAGACCAAGCGCGCCCGATACAGTGTGCCTTATTTAACCCAAAGGTCAAAGGTCAAACCCTGGGGGAGTCCCGGGGCCAGACCAAGCACGACCGACACAGTGTGCCTTATTTGGCCCAAAGGTCAAAGGTCAAAAAGTGGCCCAGAACCTGCCCCGCACTAACTACTTACAGGTACAGTCCATTTCAAAACTATAGACGCGAAGGGTTTTTGAAATATTTCAATTTTGGCTGGAACCTTTTTGAGAATAGTTTTCGGCATATTGCTCAGGTCCGCTCCACAATTACTCTCATAATTATAGTTTCTAAACGATTGGATAACAGACGCCCAATTAGGAAAAAATTATGCACAAAGTGATCACAGATTTTATGTGGTATAGATGCTGGCATAAGGGTTTTTGCCTAGGTACGCGTCTATAGTTTTGAAATGGACTGTAAACTCCCTCTGTAGCTGCAAAAATCTATGAAGATTTTGTCTCCATCTGACCAGCCGTTCAAGAGTTATGGCCGAAAATGTGCCCTTGCAAGGAAAGATTTTTTTGTTGCACGCTGTCATTTTTTGGCAGCATTGTGTTTGAATGTGAGCAGACCGTGCGCAACTTGTCGTATCATGGAAACAAGCGAAAGTGTGCAGAATTTTGCTCCAAAAATCACGTTTTTTAGCCATGTATTGGGCTGCATGGCGGCGGGCAAAAGCCCGCCGCCGTGCAGCAGGACTTTTGCCAGCACCCTCGTGACGTTGCAGATATGTGGCTTGATTACTGTAGTTGACGTTGATTTAGTGACTTTGGCAAGTTAGTTGGTAATCTTTGCCGATTTTTGAGGATATCCTGGATTTGGTGTGCAGCGTTGTGATAATGGCTTGCTGTGGAGGTCCCAGCACTGGTTGTTGTATCAAAGGTTTACATGAGAAATTTCAACCCGGGTCGAGTTCAGCCCGGGTTGAAAGTCTGTACGATAGACAAAATAGGTGAGCGTTTACATAAAGACAGTTGACCCGGGTCAAATACGGATATGCCGCCAATTTTTTATTTTTTTAACATTACGAAGCCTCTTGTACGGGCAAAATTAATAAACCGATACAATCATGTCATGAAAATACAAAAGATGACCAAAATGATAAAGTAATATTGTTTGCGTTCCGGCTCTCCGCCTTCTCCACAGAAACACATGTCCATAATATCAAAAACGGGCAACGCCACCTTCTGCAACAACAACCTCAGCAGAGGCAGGATCAGCAGTGAGGTGAGCTGTGAATGTGCTGCGAGCCCCACAGAGGCACATGACGCTGGCACGCAATATCCACTTCTAGAGTCCTGTATGGTCACGTGAAATTTGCGAAATTTGCATGTGCAGTGCTGTTCAAACCTGGCGCGAGATACGCACAGAAGTACGTTTGTACGATTTTCTTGACCGGGTTGATTTCAACCCGGGTCAAGCGCAATGCGTCATGTTAACGCGCCATTCATTTTGTGCACATGGCGGGTTGAAATCTGACCCGGGTCGAACTGAACCCGGGTTGAAACGCTTCATGAAACAGCCTTGGTGGGAAAGTTGTCGCCTGCTGGCATGGTGACCAGGTGATTTGGGCACGCATGAGCACGTGATTGTTCAACCATGTTCGATTGGGAATAAAGGAGGAACGCTGCATCGCAGCCTTTTCGGACTAAAACCAGTCGACTCAGAGTCCAAAAGACTACAACAGATGGGCCAATCACGGTCATCCGTGCTTTTATAATGGCGCTTTTAGTGACATTTTGCATACAAATCCCCATCTAGTAGGGCGCAGTCACCCAGTTTCGGTGGAAGTGTGCGAGTTCGATTGGGATTCAAGTAGGAAGGGAGCGTCTCAGCTTCCTCGGACCAAGACCATTCGACTCAGCACCCCGAAGACTACAACTGGTGAAATTTTGATTTTAGCCTTAACTTCTCCTTTAAAACGGCTGGTCCAATTGTTCCGAAACCTTCACAGAACAATTTGCCGTGTCCTAACAAGCCATTCTATGTACTTTGTTTTCCAGATTTGACTTATCTTCATACTTTTTAAGACCCAAACCTGATTGCATTTCTTTTTGAAATAGACTATAATATTGAACATCATCCATTTTCGGGTTTCCGAAGTATGCACCCCGAGTCATGTCAAGCAGGTTTGAAGCGTAGTTTTTACTGTTTGGCAAAAGTGATCTACGCTTCCACCCTAAGTACGGTAAGTCACTGCAGCGACTCTGCATTCTATCTCATTGTTGCTTCATTTTTCCCCTCTAGTTTTCTTTTATGGTGTTAGAATTTCACAGAGAAGGCGGATCGGAGAGCCCGAACGTGCGCAGTTTTATTTTTATCATTTGCCATCGCGACCCCCGTAAGTCCAAATAACTGGCAGGGCAGGGTTGGGCCTTTTACCCCAACTGCTTTCCTTTTGCAGCATGCTAAATTATACTCGCTGGAGTCTCGCCTCAACTTGCGACTTTTTGTCTTTGTGTTCCGATGTATCAACAAGCGGACAAATCCCCTGCTTTCCTCTATGTTCACTCTACAATCAGCTGCTACTTGTACAGATAGGCGCACTAGAGGACAGTCCTTCTCATCTATTTCCTTGCCTGCTGCTAAAACTGGATATGGCATGTTCTCTGTTTCTTTCCTTGTCGCTGATCGGTGGAATTCTCTGCCTATGTTGTGTCGCTAAGCTCATCAACCATCCGCTTTCATTTCGCTCTGCAAAGAGCACTTAGGGTTCCCTGTAAAAAGACGGCAACGTCTGTAGGGATTTCCCTTACAAAATAATAATACTACTAAGAGAAAGACCAAGGAACTACAAGTTACGCTATACTGTCCACTAACACCACCAGTTACTAAACAATCAGGTCATGCGATAACATTGCATGACACTGACCGGCGGTACTGACGTTCTACAACTAACTGGCTAACAACTCTAGCACATCTTGGATGCGCACTCCAACAGCCTTCCAACTTGGAAGGTTCAAAGTTATAGAAGTAACATAAGGAGGGGAAGGTGAGCGCAACCAAGAAAAGCACGAGCTGAAAGTCTCAGCTGTGAAGGACGTTGGCGGATGTTCATGCATGTCGATGACGATACTGGCAAGACTATTGGACAATACGGTAAAACCACTATTCAGGAACGCAAAGCCACATTCCACACACCTTGTGTGGCTCAAAAGATGCGTCAGTAGTATGTCAGTACCGTCGGTCAGTGGCGTGCAATGTTATCGCATGAGCTGACTGTTTAGTAACTGGTGGTGTTCGTGGACAGTATAGCGTAACTTGTAGTTCCTTGGTCTTTCTCTCTGTATATATTAAACCTTGGCTCTCCATCTGAGTCCATTACTACTACTACTGCTACTAATACTACTACTTTTCTTTCTTCTTGGATTGAAATTTCTTACCAGGCGTGGGCCATCCCCTGGTAAAAAAAATTGTTTGGAAAAAATTGGAAAAACACAAAAACTCTGCTTATTTCTGTACATAATTGGCCCAGAATCTGCGAAAACCAGGCTTAGGGTGAAATTTCACAAAATGACTTTTTCCCATTTTCAGCTTCTACTGGGCATGGGGGGTCAGGAAACAAAATATTACAGGTGCGGGTCGACTCATAGTGGTATTAAAAGCATCTCAAACACACCAGGGTATTATGTTAAAAAATCCAAAAAAACACAAAATTGTTATCACAGGAAAGAAATGAAGAGAGATCCACCAGACTGAAGGAAGAGACATGGATGATTTTTGTTTAGGTGACATGACAAGGTAGGCATGTGGGGGCAGGCTTGTTGTGGCCCCTTGGTGCTGCAGGCTGTAGTGGCCATGCACAGTTCTGCATGAATTTTGTTTGCTCCTCACTCAGCACATTCTGGGGCTGAATACATGTACTGGCATGCTCTGCCGCTACACACCACAAGGAAACCCGACTCCAGTTGAGATGGCACCTTTTGAAGGGTGAATCTAGTACAACTGTTCAGAAACAAGCAAGAACACAGCCTTTCAACCTGTCCCACTGTTCATAGTAAGCGCATAGTGTGCTGGCGTGCTGCAGTATCTGCTTGGTGCTGACCAGCAAGTGAAATATCAGCACGCCGTACAATCCCTTGCAGCTAGCTGTCCAGCGAGGAAAGTCTCGAGTGGGGGCCTCTCGATCTGCTCGCTCATTCCCCTGGCATTCAGTAGCACTTCATCGCGCCAAGGACTTCAATTCAAAACCGTTTTCACACTGCGCTTCAAGCCATTTTCCTCGTGAATTTGCTGCAAACGTATGAGCTCCGCTGCGCGCGTTCCCTTTGTGTGAGGCCCAGAAACAGCTAGTATCTCTGTACTTCGATTGGCTGGGTCGATGTCGTCCAGGTTCTCCTCGCTATCGCCATCACGACTCTAACTGGAGACGATTTTTCACCATTTTCCGCAAGCAGCAGCTAGCGCAGAAATTTCGCCATCCCTGAGTGTAGGAAATGGAATCCGTTCGATCAGCTCAAAAACTCTTCGTCGCGACTAGAGGAGTAGCAGGGAATACTCTACCGGAAGCCCTTTGACTTCCCTGACTGCTGAAACCCTTCCTGCCATGACTGCTTCTTCTTCAAACAAGCGAGATTCTCTTTGGTTCCACTTCACTGCACTCGATCGTCCACGCGACACAACCTTTTTACAAAACATCATTTTTCTCAAAAAAATGATTTTCACCCTAAGCCTGGTTTTCGCAGATTCTGGGCCAATTATGCTTGTATTGATGTTGCAGTTGAAGTAGAGTAACTCTCTTGCGCATGTTGTACGTAATGTAATGATTGATACGTACTTTCGATATTGATTTCGTTGGTGCACACGTTGGTGCCTGCCTGCCTGAGGCAGGCAGGCACAGTGGGTTGGTCTAAGACCATGATTGAGAAACGAGAGGTACCAGGTTCAAGTCCTGCTTGGAAGCGGAAGGATTTTTCCAACTGTGCTGCGACCCACAGTTAATTGGGAACTCGTGGCCTGGCATGAGTAAAACATGGATGTGGCAAATGGGATTTAGGCCTTTGGCCTATGGTTGGTAGATCTGATCTATCCTCCCCAACCGTTTAGGAGCCGCATCTGAAGCCTGATCATGGGGTGGTGGCGTCCCACGGAAGCGGAAAGGTGGTTCTTAACCAGGG